ATACCTTAGGAGCATATCCTTGCCAGTCCCCGTCCTGGTGGAGGACACCAGCAGCAGCAGTGAGTACGGCTCAGTTTCTCCCGACACGGAGCTCAAGGTGGACCCCTTCTCTTTCAAAACAAGAGCCAAATCCTGCGGAGAAAAGGATGTGAAAGGAATGCGGACGCTCTTTTTGGGGTAAAGGCCTGACTTACTTTGGGGGCAGGAAGTGTGTGGTGTATCACCTTATAAAGGAAAGTGTGATGTGTGCTGTGTGGATTATTGCAGCATTCCAGATGAGAATTTTGAAGATCACAGTGCTCCCCCTTCTCCCGAGGAAAAGGACTCCGGGTTCTTTATGCTGCGGAAGGACAGCGAGAGGCGGGCCACCCTGTACCGGATCCTGAAGGAAGACCAGGACAAAGTTGTGAGAAACTTAATGGAATCTTTGGCTCAGGTAAAACCTTTCATGGATGCTTCATGTTTTCAGAGTTTACATATTTTAACTGTCAAAACTAGTGGGCTAACTGGTGTGGCTCAGTGGTTGAGCATCGACCTATGAACCAGGAGGTCACAGTTCGATTCCTGGTCAGAGCACATGTCCAGGTTGTGGTCTTGATCCTTAGTAGGGGGCATGTAGGAGGAAGCCAATCAATTATTCTCTCTCACCATTGATGTTTCTCTCTCTCTTACTCACTCTAAGTCAAATGCAAAGTTATCCTGTTGGTGAAGCTCCCACTAGTCCCTACCAGCCTCTTTTACCCTTCATTTATTCATATATTCAACCAATCAATACACACACATTGAGCAACGTGAATTGCTCATTCTGACTGTAGCTCACAACTGCCTCTCAGTCACTCCTCTGCGCATGTAGGAAACACTGCAGATGCAGCAGAGGCCCGTGGTGGAGGGGCTGCATTCAGGCGGCAGGCGATGGGCAATAACCAGTAAATTACATAGCGGGCGAGGGGCCATTGTGCTATGAAAAAACAAATCTGGCCATTCCAACTCTGGTTCCCTCATGTGTTTGTTCGCTGGGGTTGCCATAACAGATACCATAGACTGCACAGCTTAAATGCTGGGAATTTATATTTCTCACGGTTCTGGAGGCTGGAAGTCTCAGAGCAAGGTGTCGCCAGGTTTGGTTTCTCCCGAGGCCGCTCTCCTTGGCCTGCAGGGCGCCTTCTCGCTGTGTCCTCATTGGCCTTATCTCTCTGCACTTCTGGTGTGTCGTCCTCTCCTTATAAAAACATGAATCCAATTGGGGTAGGGTCCCACCTTTGTGATCTCATTTAACCTTAATTACCTCCTAAACCCTATCTCCAAACACAAAGGCTAGGGCTTCTGCATATGAATTCGGGCAGGGAAGGACACAGTTCAGTCCATGACACCTGGGACTTTGTTCCCTGGGATTCTGCATACAGATACGCAGGCCTGCTCTGTCTCCTGTGGCTACAACCTGTCCTGCCCGATCTGTGTGGACTGCATGTACCTTCTTCCCTCCCATCTGTCCTGGGAAAACAGCTGCAAAAAGCATGGAGGAGGAAGAGTTGGTCAAGTGTTTAGTTTCTCAGTCCAATAATTTACATTGTTCTCAGTTTGGATTGGGGTGTATGTGGAGCCAGGTGCCCACAAGTGCTCCTCCTTCCTCTCTCTCTCTCTCTCTCTCTCTCTCTCTCTCTCTCTCTCTCTCTCATCAATAAAAACATATCCTCAAGTAAGGATTAAATAAAAAGAGTAAATATGTATTTAAATATATTGGGTGGGCAAAAGTAGGTTTACAGTTGCTCATATGGAAAATAGAGTAATACAATAATTAATAAATAATACAAGAATAAACTGTTTTGAATACTCACAACTGTAAACCTACTTTTGCCTCACCCTGTATAGTAGCATATGTAATTAAATATATAGTTATAATGTGCAATAATAATAAATATTGTAAATATAAGAAATTTTAAACATATAATAATAGCAAGCAGTTTCTATGAGCCAGCTACTGTTCTTGGTATCTCATAGGTATTTGCTCACTTAACCCCCATGAGAATAGTGCTAAATAGGTAGTTCTGTTAGCATCCTCACTTTGCACAGAGGTGAGTACACTTGCCTCGGCCATGCAGGCCTAAGTGACAGAGCCAGGCAGTCTGGCTCCCAGGTCTGTGCTCTCAACCGTCACACTGCTCTCCTTCCGGGGATGACAGGTGGTGACAAGTGATGGAAGAAACATAAAGCAGGGGAGGGGGTGGCATTTCGGCTGAGGGAACAGGGAAAATCATTGTGGAGTGAAGGTTCTCCTGTGGCCATTAGTGAAGATACCTGTTTTAGGCCAGAAACACAGAACTCAGGGATTGTTTAAATCTCATGTTCATCCCCAAAGGGTGTGCTGTTCCAGTACAGAAAATGACTGGTTTTTTGGTGTTTTTCTTTGTGTCTCCACTGGATCATGGGTCCATCGGGGCAGAGACAACCTTGGTCACTGTCATTGTCCCACCTCTCAGCACAGAGCCTAGCAAGAAACTCCGCTTCCATGACTTTGCTGAAATTCTTAAATTTTTATGTTGGTTAATCCTCTCCAATGTTTTGTGATTTCCTAGTTTTTTAAGCCCACTTGAATGTTCTGTATAAAAAGACACATGAAATTAAACCTTATTAAAAGAAGCCATTAGAGGGCATGCCTTGGTGCACCAATAGGAGGGAACAGTGAGGACCAGAAACTGCTGGTCAGAATCACATGCTAAATCCAGAATCAAGTAATAGTGAGGGTCATGCTGATTGTACTGCTGAAGCAACTGTGAATCCTTTCCTGTGGTTCCACCTGATGGTCTCGTGGCAGAGCAGGTCCTGACCCAGCTTATTGGGCAGAAGAATATAACGCTTGAGAGCTTGGGCTCAGCCACAACTTACCTCAGAACTAGTTCCACCATTTAAAGGCTGTGTGATTTAGGCAAGTTATTTAACTTCTCTGAGGCTGAATTTCCTCACCTATAAAAGAGGAAATCCTATAAAGAATAACTAAGCCCTGGCCGGTTTTGCTCAGTGGATAGAGCGTCAGCCTGTGGACTGAAGGGTCCCAGGTTCGATTTTGGTCAGGGGCATATCCCTGGGGTGCAGGAAGCAGCCGATTCTCTCTCATCATTGATGTTTCTATCTCTCTCCCTCTCCCTTCCTCTCTGAAATCAATAAAAATATATTAACAACAACAACAAAAAAGAATAACTAAGATCATGAGCAATTGAGATAATAGGAAATGTTCCATGGATGTTAACTATTATTATTGTTATCATCAAACAGGCTAATAACAATATTTAATATCTTTGAATGTTTTTCTACAACCAGATAGAAACAATTCTTTCCATTGTATTACATATTTCTAGGTACATCTTTACAGTTATAACAAGACTGAAATGTAGATGGCGGTCAGGTCCTCAAATCAGCCCACGAAAGGCCTTTCAGTCTGTAGCATCTTCTGAAATCCACTCATCGTGTTTAAGGCAGTTTAAAGGATAAAGAATAGAGAGCACCTTTGCAAAAGATTCTGTGATGATACCAGGAATGCTTCGAAAAAGGCACCCTGTCAGATGCTACCTTCTGATGGCGAATCAGGTGTCACCCGATAACTAAGATGCTCATTCGTGAAGGCACAGTAGCGACTGCACACAGAGACAGGAGTTAAAACAGAAACAACGATTGTGTAAGTGGCTGAAATACGCTAGAGAGACTACATTTCCTGAAGCAGACAGCGTTCCTTTGTAGGACAGTGGCACTCACATCCCAAACCCAGAAGCAACATGTTTTTCTGTTGTGAAAACAATGCTAATGTCAAAAAAAATGTTTGCTATTTAAACTGGTGCCAAACATTAACTGATTTTTCACTAAGCTAAGCTTCCAATTCCTGAATAAGTCACATTTTTCTCCTTGAACATGTTTTCATGTTATTGTGATATTTCCTGTGAATGTTTACTTTGGGTGTGATTTAGTTCGTGGTAAGAAAATAAACAGTTTATAATTGTTCCCAGTCTCATTTTAAAATATTACCTTAACGACAGCCTTCAGGATTTTCAATATAATCTTTTCTCATGCAAACATCCAAGTGAGAGAGCTTCCAGATGAGAATGTATTGAGAGGAAGAGCTTCCATTTTCATAGAACCCTAGATATTGTGATTTTTCACAATCCAGTTGAGGCATTTAATTTTGATGATTTAGTAACAAAATGTATAATGTGAGATAGACATGAGCATTATAAAAATCCTGTTTATTTTTTAAAAAAACATTTTTATTGATTTTAGAGAGGAAGGGATAGGGAGAGAGAGAGAAAGAAACATCAATGATGAGAGAGAATCATTGATTGGCTGCCTCCTGCACATCACCCCCTGGAGATCAAGCCCACAACCTAGGCATGTGCCTCTGACTGGAATCAAACCCAGGACCCTTCAGTCCACAGGCTGACACTCCATCCACTGCGCCATATCGGCCAGGGCAATCCTGTTGTTTCTTAAAGTTAAAAAGAGAATAAATAACATCCTACTATATTACCTTTAAGGAAGCAATGTTGCTTGAGCAAGTAACAAGAAATTCAGCTTGAGAGAGGGAATTTTTAGAATTGTATTTTATTTTTAACATATAAAATATTCCGTTGGTCAATTCCTATAAGTAGTTGCTTTGTTGATGGGTAGGAATTGTTTCAAGGACAGAGTGCGAAGCCATCCCCTTTCAGTGGCAAGGAACGACATGGTTCAAGGGCAGTTGAAGTACTGGGGACATGTAGATAGGCACATAGCAATGGGAGAAGGGGACTCTGAAGGAGTCCAACCATAGTGTCCAGCCAAGCTTAGAGTGTGAGTCCAAGGAACTTCAAGTTCCAGGAGTTTGTACATCTTTTCCTGGCTCGGTGGCTATGGGCCCTTTGATTTGCCATTTCTGTTTGTGTCCACTTCTCTCCCTATCCATTGCTCCGGCTTCCTTCCTTATGACTAGATGTACTCTTGCCCCTGTTTTATGACTTCTCTCTCTGGACAAACTTTGAGCTTGGGGTCCTATGGCTTATTGCTTGAATCTCTCCTTAGGTCCTGATTAAAATTTCTGAGAGTAAGAGTCTTACTGCCTCTGCCTGTCCCTGTTTGGGGAAAGCTTTGTGTATCTGACTGTATCACGGCTATTGGCTAACGTACGGAGTAGGTACCCTTCTTCCCAAAGCCTGATTATTTCTTGGAAAGGACAGGAGGAGGGGAAGGAGCCATATTGTTCAAATATGGTCTTTTTTCCTTAGACGGACCATTTGGCAGTCCAGTCCCTCCCAGCAGGGGCTGTGAGCATGGCAGGCCCACGTGCCTAAGCCCATTGACCGACTGACAAGTTAACTGGCTTTTATTCACAGGGGCCCGAAGAACCTAAACTAAAGTGGGAGCACATCACAACCCTCATCACAAGCCTCAGAGAATTTGTGAGATCCACCGACCGAAAAATCATAGCCACCACCCTGTCAAAGCTGAAGTTAGAGCTGGACTTCGACAGCCATGGCATCAGTCAGGTCCAGGTGGTGCTCTTCAGCTTTCAAGATGCTGTAAGTATGAAATTCTGCCAATGTTTTTCCACAAACTCTGGCTAAAATTAGTCAGAAAAATAGGATGAAACTTAAGTTCTCATGCCTTTCTTTCTTTAATGATTTCAATGAATTCTCTTCTCTTTGGATAAGTGTGAGATGGTGGCCCTTTTGCGTGCTGTGTGAGCTTTGTGTTTTCTATGTTTAATATACATAAAAGTGTACACCATGTAAAATAGCAAAACTCATAAACATCTCCATGGCTGAACTTTGTTCTTATGAAATCATGTAGTGGGTCACTATTTTGGTGACTTGAGCAACAGAACACACTTGAGTCATGCATGCTCTCATTCCGTAGGAGAGGTGCCATCTAGTGGACATTGAGAAAATGACGGTACAGATTGGAATGACCACTACTGAATAAAACCAATAATCCTCCACCCCACCCTCCACCTCAGTTACTAGTAAACATGTTTGTTTAATAAATATTCACTTTTTTTCTAGCCAGCAATATACTTCAGAGCCCAGGGCATCACTGAAGGAAAATTAATACACATGATCTAATGAGACATTGCTGAAGATTCCTCTCTCTCAAACAGTTGCTATGCAACACAAGCTAGTCCATCTTCCAAAAGCCTGATTCAAAACCATATGCTATTCTTGAATGAGACTTATCTGTGGAGCTCTGTACCAAAAAAGCCTGAAGCTATTCCTAGAAGGCCCTTACAGGGTCCAGATGTAAATAAGAGCGTTCTTGACACTGTCTGTGGTATGAATGTAGAAGCACTTTGCATAACTTTATTTAAGTTCAAAAAATTAATTCACCCCTAATGTTTTCATTGCTCTTATGTAGAAACTAAAGGCCCAATGCACAAAATTCATGCAAGAGTAGGCCTTCCTTTTCCCGGCTGCTGGCACTGGCTTCCCTCTGGCACCCAGGACCCAGGCTTCCCTTGCAGCCCCAGCTTCATCTGGAAGGTCATCCAGAAGGATGTCCGGAAGGATGTCTGGTCTAATTAGCATATTATGCTTTTATTATTATAGATTATCTTGACAATTATAATTGGGGCATCAAATGATTCCTGATTTAAAACCAAATTATAATCCTTCAGCATCCACTGATGTTCTCTGAGACTGTGTAAACCACCTCATCTTTGGGCTATATTGTGGGTGGGGACAAGACTCCTGACATGATTGAGGTCATGAAAGCAATTGGCAAAGCCTAACATTAACATTCAGTCTTAAAGGCACACTTACACCGCACGTAGGGAAACCCAACCATCTGGGAATAGGATAAAATAATTCAGTGAATTTGCACTTGCCCACACATTTGGCTTTCAGCCTGGAGGATGAAAAGCAAATTGGCTTGTAGAATTCAGATTGAGAGTGCTTTAGTTGTCACACACACGCACACACACACACACACACACACACACACACCACCCTGTTCACTCTTGTTCAGAATGGGAATAACCTGGAGAATGGGCCCTGTGTAATGTACTGTTTAATGAAAAACTAGGAGGAGCAAGTCATGGTCATAGGGGCTCTCTCTTCCATCTTCTGTGTGTGACTCTTGGGAGAAATATTCTAGTTTACCAAGTGTTGTGCCCAATGCTAAATCAAAAAAGCAGGAAACTCCTTTAAGAAATGAAGGTGGTGGGACAGAATCATTTTGATAGGATTTGCTAGAGCAAGTGAGAACCAAGCCCTGACTCATTTTCTTGAGAGTAACTACTGTGAGGAACTCCTCCGACCCACTCCCCTCTAACTGAGAGATTTTGATGAAGATGGAGCAATGGTAAGAATAAGCAACTGGAACTCCAGCTTTTATAAAGTGCAGGATTGCAGCGAGGTCACCTTCCCAGCTGCCTCTAAGATCTCTAGTCAGAGACTTGTTAGAAAAGTAGCCTCTTTTCTTAGAGGACACTGTCAACCGATAATTAGTAGAGTTAATTCACATTTTAAATAAGCGATAAAGGTTATTTTAAAAAGGTAATGCATATGGTTTAAGCATACAGTGGAATATTGTTTACCCTTAAAAAGGAAGTTCTCACATATTACACTAAGTGAAATAAGCCAGTCACAAAAATACTGTATGATTCCACTTACATGAGTAACCTAGAGTACTCATATTCATGGAGACAAGAAGTACAGTGGCGGCTGCCAGGGGCTGTGGGAGAGGGCAATGTGGAGTCATCGTTAATAGGTACAGAGTTTCCATTTTGCAAGATGAAAAGAGTTCTGGAGATGAACAGTAGTGATGGTAACACAACAGTATCAGTATCCTTAATGCCATTGAACCAAACACTTAGAAATGGTTAAGATGGTAAATTTTATGTTATGTTTATCTTACCTAATTTTTTTTAAAAAAAATGTAATGTGTATATCTATTTCAGTGTCTATTTAAATGTGTGAGCCCAGCTGGCGTGGCTCAGTGGTTGAGCATCGACCTATGCACGAGGAGGTCAAGGTTCCATTCTCGCTCAGGGCATGTGCTTGAGTAGCAGGCTCGATTCCCAGTAGGAGTGCAGGAGGCAGTCAATCAATGATTCTCTCTCGTCACTGATGTTTCTATCTCTCTCTCCTGCTCCCTTCCTCTCTGAAATCAATAAAAATATATTTTAAAAAAATAAAGAAATGTGTGAAATGTTACGTACTCGGTTTAAAAAGGTGCCCTCACAACAGAGAGCTTTAATGTGAACAGCTTTTCCGGAGTGTTGTCACAGGTTATTCCTGTTTGCAGAGATGTCAAGAACTGTGGGAAGGAAAGCCAGGCACACACTGTGGCAAATAGGCAGGTGACACATACCCGCTCACGTCTCCCCTTCACCTGCTTTTTCAGGGCACCAGAGCATGGCAAAGCACTAGGGTGGATTAAACAGCAGGATCATCCCATTTAAGAAAAGTGCTCATTTTTAAAAAGCCCCTCAACCTCTTTTCCCCCCTAATCTCCTCCAACATGCATCTGCAGACGTCATGAAAGGTGGAAACTGCACGTTCTCTGTTCTAACAGAGCACCCTTCTCGTTTAACCAGCCTGCCTTTCATTTAAATAATGCATCTCATTTGCTTACATGGGTTCACTGAACTTTAAATGGAAGTGGCAGTTTTTCATGTGACATAAATTATTCACAACTCAAGGTGAAGAGTCCTTTCTGTTATTTTGTTGATAAATCCAGACGCTTGCATCAGCTAGGTTATTTGCAATTAAAAGTTCATCAAAATGTCACTCTCTTTCTCTAGGTGAATAAAGTTCTTCGGAATCATAACATCAAGCCACACTGGATGTTTGCCCTGGACAGTATCATCCGGAAGGCCGTGCAGACAGCCATTACCATTCTGGTTCCAGGTCAGAAATACTTAATTACTCTGTAAATATTTGGTGTTTGATGTTTTATATTACTGTTCATTTATCATTTATGGCGTCTCCTTCCTGAGTTTAAGACCAGGCTAACCAGGTTAACCTTCTCTTTTATTCATCTTCTCAGTCAGCAAATGTCATTTATTTAGGGCATGCAGTCTGAGCCCTGGTCCAGCAGGCAGGATGCTTACTGCGAGTGAGGAAGACTTGCTGCCTGGTCTTTAAAGAGCATGTTTGGCTATGAAGAGAAAGAAAACTGTACAAGTGACCCAAATACATGTGCATTTCAATATGCAGGTATCTGTGCTCAGAAAACACCTAAACACATGCCTGCATCATCTTTACCAGGCTCCCAAACCGGCTGTTGCCTTGAGTGACACAAAGAGTCCTTTGGGATTACAGCTTTCAGGGCTCCGCCCAGGCTGAGTTGAGACTCTCCTGGAGAGAAAGCCCAGCAATCTGATTGTAAAACAATTCCCAGGGCATTTTGGCACGCAGCCAGGTTCGGAAAGTGCTGGTCTATGTTTGCAGTGAAATACGAAAGGGCCAGTGTTGAGGGAGGTGTGTGTTCACACTCTAAGGCAAACTTCCAAAGGGTTTTGATAGTCTACGCAATAATAAAAGACTTTAAGCAAAACTCTTTCTCTGTGTGAGTGAGTGAGTGTGTGTGTGTGTGTATGTGTGTGTGTGCATAGAGAGATTTTAGATACATAAATTGGAAGCATGTTCTATTGTAAAATTTGTACATATATTTTAAAGCATTCTAAAGTAGAAATTTTAAAAGGTAAATATAAACTGTTTTAAAGTTTAGGTTATTTGTAAATGGTTCTGTGAAGTTTTAAGTCACCATTCGTACTTCCAAGTTGTGGAAGTTCCTCTCTTCTCTCAGAATGCCTGTTTGATTTGAGAGTAAGGGCGCCAGTGTCGATCTTTATATTACACATTAGTAAACACTGATTTCTTTCTTTCTTATGTAAGAAATGCCCCTCATACCTTGGCATCCTTGCACCTTTGCATTCTCCAGGTCTCAGACTCCTGACCTACCACAAAGTCTAGATTAGGCTCTTTGTTATTCTCTCTCCTTGGAAATGCTTTTTCCCCATTTGTGACATTTGCCACAATCAGAAGCTACTTTTATTTTCTTGTCTATGGGGTGATTCCCTCACCGGAGAGCAACAGTGTCTATTTTATTCCATTCTGTGCTGAGCATATTGTCGAGCACAGTGTCTGGAAATCAGGAGGCCCCTGAAAAACATTGCTTGTAAATGAGTTTCACGTGATTATAACAAACTAGAGGCCTGATGCACGAAAATTCATGCAAAAGTAGACCTTCCTTCCCCCCGCTGCCAGGACCCGGGCTGGCTTCCCTCCGGCCTTGGCTTCATCAGGAAGGACATCCGGAATGACGTCCAGAAGGATGTCTGGTCTAATTAGCATATTACCCTTTTATTATTATAGCATAAAAATGTTACATAAAGAAAAAATCCAGTGAGTTTTTGAAACACATGACTAATAGTTGGATGTGAACCTAAGGAATGTAAAGCTAATGTAATGCTTTAAGGAAGTTAACATATATTTATATTTAAATGATTGAATTGGAATAAACTTGGATGTGGGGGATGTACTATAAAGGAATTACATACTCAAAAGTACAAGGGGTGAAAAGGAATAGGCATGTATCAGTAAAAGGCCACGAGTGAAATGCACTAGTAACCTAAATTAAGAATGCCCTGTCCTAACTGGTTTGGCTCAGTGGATAGAGCATTGGCCTGCAGGCTGAAGGGTCCCAGGTTCAATTCCAGTCAAGGGCATGTACCTTGGTTGTGAGCACATCCCTAGCAGGGGGTGTACAGGAGGCAGCTGATCAATGTTTCTCTCTCATTGATGTTTCTGACTCTCTATCCCTCTCCCTTCCTCTCTGTAAAAAATCAATAAAATATATATTTAAAAAAAGAATGCCCTGCCCGGCCAGGTGTGACTCAGCGGTCAAACCAGGAACCAAGAGGTTCCAGGTTCAATTCCCAGTCAGGGTACATGCCCGGGTTGTAAGCTCAATCCCCAGAAGGGGGCATGTAGGAGGTAGCCCATCAATGATTCTCATCATTGATGTTTCTATCCCTTTCCCTTCCTCTCTCTGAAATATATATATATATATATCTTTTTAAAAACAAAACAAAACACAAAACCAACAATGCCCAAATGAGGACAGGACTGATAGATTATACTTGGGAATAATTTAAATATCATATAAAGGATCTGTTCATCTGATTTTAACAAAAAAACACTTTCTTTTAAAATGGATTACCTAAATTTAATGGACCGTATCCTGGAACTGAAAAAGAATGTCAGTGTAAAGCCAGTGGAATCTCAGTGAGGTCCGTAGTTTGGCTAATAGAATTGTGCCAATGCTAGTTTCCTCCTTTTGACAAATATAGCGATACAAAATGTATGAGCAGGGTGGAAGGTATATGGGAATTCTTTGATTTATCTTTGCAACTGTTCCGTAATTCTAAAATTCTTCCAAAACAGGACGCTTATAAAGCACACTGATGACCACACTAAAGGTAAAATGCAGTCACGTTTAGGGAAGGGATAGGGTGAGTGCAGAGAGGCCTGTCTCCTCCCATGGGTGTCCCAGTGATGGGCACTGCTTTACCCAACCCATGTGTGGAACAAGGCACTTCCTTTGTGAAAAGCATTTGCTAAGGAAAGTGATTTGTCTTTCCACTGTGAAACTGGTGTCTTTGAGGCCTCTGGGAGTCTCAGATGACAACTGAAATTACTGCTTGAAAGGACTTTTTTAAAGAGGAAATTTTAGAGGAGAATTCCATAGAGAAAGTATTTTTTATATTCCTCGCAGGATAGGTGAAGACAATGTGTACTGTATCCTACCTACCATTATGTAATTGATGGGTCTATATGACAAGATGAACTGGTTTTAAACATTGACAGTTCCATCAAATTTCTAAATGTCCCTATTTTATTATACAGTTAAGATTCAAAGGAGCTACATTAAAAATGCCTGTCTTCATATTCTCCTGATAAAAATTCCTTTTAGGTGACAAATTACTATAATTTACCTACCAAAATTTGAAAGGCATGCTAAACAAAACAACAGATTTAAAAGTATGCCATCATGAGCACATATATGTGGAGAGGTCCCAGATCTTGGTTTCAAAACACCATTTCTTTAATAAAAGGAATCAGAGCTTCTTGGAGAAATGTTTGATTCTAGGCCTGGAGTGAGGGAAATACAAGATGAAACTGGAACATCTTATGATGCCACAAAGTAAGGAAGTACCCCCAAAAGGAAGGATGGAGGCTTATTGAAAGGACACGGGAAACAGCTTGAGGTGTTCCCAGAAGTCTAAGCCAGAGCAATTAGAGCAATAAAATAAAATGCATTGTATTATCGCTCATCGAATAAACTAAATATCCATGAGTCCATACTGCTATAAGTAACTGAATCAATCTATAAATATATGGTGAAGGGCCAAGTCTTTGTTTTAGTAGAAATTTCAATTATAAGAATAGAAGGCATTGAGGGAAATAGAAAATTAGGCCAACACCACAGTAATAATGATTGGAGGCAAGAGCCATTCATGGCTGCTAAGATCAGGAGGCAAAAGAGTAATGAGAAACAGGATATTTGAATGATCTCAGAGTATATCTCCCCACAAGATGTTTACTAATTACAAAGGGAAAACAGTGACTTACAGTGGAGGAACCTGGCAGACACCTTCTTTACCAGACGATCCAGGTAAACATCATACTAATAAGATACATCAGCATCATGTACCTCCTGATGTGGTGCGCTTGGCACAGCTTCGCCCTTGTGCTGTTCTTGCCAAAAATGCACAGCCTCAACCTAATCATGGCAAGACATTGGTGAACTGAAAACGACATAGTGCAAAATAACTGGCCATACTCCTGGAGAGTGTGGAGGTCATGGGAGATATAGAAATAGGAGGTATCTGTCACAGATTGGAAGAGACTGAGGGAATGTGAGCACTAAATGCAGTGTGGGATCTCGGATCAGAAAAAGGACATCAGTGGGAAAACTGGTGAAGTTCAAATAAGGTCTGTAGATTAGTTCATAGTATTGTATCAACGTTAATGTCCTGGTTTTGGTGATAGCGTCAAAGCTATGTAAGATGTCAGGTTAGGGCAAGCTGCTGAAGGGGATATGGGAGGTTTCTGTACTATTTTTGCAACTTTTTGATATTCCTGACTACTTCAAAATCAAAAGTAAAAAAAATAAAAAAGTGCTCAATCTCCTTTCCTCCACAAAGAGCACACGGAACAGAGAGTACGGTGCAAGCTCCTTAAGAGGTTTCTCTCAGGCTGTTTTCTCACATGCCCTCAAGAATCAGCCATTAGATGACAGGCAACATCAAGTACAGGCTGCTGGTGGTGACCAGATGGAGAAATGCTGGTATGGAGACCATGTTGGCAGTCCTTAGGCAGAGAGAACTGATAATGTAGGCATACTTCCTATGTTAACAATAATTTTTAAACCTGCTGAAACACTTGATGTTACTCCAGTTGTTAAACTGAATCACTCATGTGACCCATGTCCACATGAATGTAAACCGACCAGCATTCTATACCATATGAGGATCTTAATGTAGGTATCATACCCTATGCACTGACAAGTATTATGATTTTATTTGGCATCAAAAATACCCTGTGTTAAAGCAGGTTGGTCTAATTATTTTCCTCTGGGAAAACACCAATTGTGGTGGGGTGGGGTGGGGTAGGGTGGGATGGGGAGGTGGGGATAGTATTGTTGCTTAATCCCCTCTTGCTGTTCTGAAATGCACTGGCTCTAGTTTCCCACACGTGAATTAATCATCGTCTACTTGTTACAGCCTCCCTCCCCGCCACTACCCCCACCCCCGCCCCCGAGTCACTGCCTTTCTCCTGGCATTTGGCTCTCTCCCGACAGTCCACTCTGCTCTCCTTTCTTCTCGGCCTCTGGGCTACCATTTGAGCTTCCTTCTCTCTAAAGCCTCTCCCTCTTTCTCCACCAGCCAAGACTTCCCCTTCTCTAGACCCTGCTTAGGCCCTCTTCCTCCAGGAATCCATCAGAGAGTAAGCCACCACTAGCTTTAATTATTGCAAAAGTGCTATATCTACCCCTTAGCACTCTTAATACATGCACACATGAGTTATATTTGTAACTAGGTCTATGCCTGAGACCACCTAAGATATTTTTGGCTGTATTAATTAGTACTTGTAATTTCATGTTATCGTTGTACATGCTCGTATGGCTCTCTTGTGTATTCACCCTAGTTTTCCTTTAGCTTGTTATCTCTGGGGACAAGGACCAGATGCTGTATCTCATTTGGATATTTTACAATGTGTTGAAAGACCAAAATAACAAAGCATTGTACTTGTTTATAATTTTCTACTTTCTTCAAATTGACATAATTTTTTAGTCATACATAAAATGATAATTTATGATAATTTAAAGTATATAGAGTTAAGGAAATATAAGGGATACTTAACTATAATAATAAATATCAGAAATTTTCCCTCCCGAAAGGTTATAGTCAACAGGATTATAAAACTTTAATTGTTTTAAAATTTTCAGTTAGAGACCATAAAAGGAATTTAAGAATAATATTAGGAAAATTTAAAAGGCCTAATCTTATATTCTAATTTAATCTAGAATTCTACTTTTTAAAATTATTTTTAAAGTAAAATATTTTTTCAGTATTTTGTTTCCTTCTTAAATACAGATAATCCTAGTAGGGTAACTCTTCCATTCTGCCAACATTTTTTGAGAGGCTAATACGGCTTGGCCTCCAGACTAGATGCTGGGTTTACAAAGTAAAATACTTGATTTCGAGTCACTCCTAATATGGATGAATTAGGGAATGGAATTTTGGAAAGAGAATTTGGAAATTGATAATGCAGAAAGCAGAGTAGAGGTGGATTTTGGTAAACCTTAAAAGATAAAGGGCACGGATGTGGAGAAATTGGAACCTTTATTTGGGGTTGTAAGATGGTGCAGCCACTATAGAAAACTGTAGTGGCTCCTCAAAAAATTAAAAATAGAAATACCATATGATCCAGCAATTACTTTTCTGTGTATATATCCAAAAGAATTGAAAGCAGGATCTCAGAGTTATTTGTACAGCCAAGTTCATAGCAGCATTATTCACAGTAGCCAAGAGGCGGAAGAGGTGGAAGTGTCCATTGACAGATGAATGGATAAAGACGTGGTACATACATATAGTGGGATATTATTCAGCCTTAAAAGGAAGGAAATTCCAACATACACTACAACATGGATGAACCTTAAGGACATTATGCTAAGTGAAATAAGCCCATGTCAAAAGACAAATATGGTATGATTCTAATTATATGAGGGATCTATAGTAATCAAATTCATAGAAACAGAAAGTAGAATGGTGGTTGCCAAGGATATAGGGGAAGGGGAAATTGGAGAGTTGTTCAGTGGGTATAGCGTTTCATTTTGTAAGATAAAAACGTTCTGGAGAATGGTTGAACAACAATATGCATGTACCTAACACTACAATTTGTACACTTAGAAATGATGAAAATGGTAAATTTTGTGTCATGTACTTTTTAACCTTCAAAAAAGTAAAATAAATAAATAAATAAACAGAGAGAGATAAAAGAAGTCAGGGCTACATAAACTTGACCCTAAGAAGGGCACTCTAGTTCTTGTTATGAAAAATAGTGAGTTCCTGTTTTGATTGTTGAATTTAAGTGCCTGCCCAACAGGAATATCTAGGATGTAACAGGATCAGGGCCAAAAATATACTTTGTTATCCCCACATTACAAGTGTTTAACCTTCATAGATTTTAATGAGCTCACCCATATAGAGTAAATAGAAACATGAAAAAGTGAAGGATAGATTTCCAAGTTCCAGCTTTTAAAGGCAGGTCGTAGGCAAAAAGGCTCTGAAGAAGAGAAGCAGAAGCCAAAGATTTCCAGGAAGGTACTATACACAGGTCGGGTAAGGTAAGGAAAGAGAGTTACCTAGAAGATCTGGCAACTACTGAGCTTCTGGTTGTCTTGCCAGAGTAGCTGTATTGGAGTGGTGGGATGGGGTCTTCACCACTCCCTCCGGAGCCCTCTCCCCCACACATCTGTGGTTCATGGACTCTTGGGACAGGCTTCAGGGTGTCTGTGAGCCCTCAGGAAATCTAGGCAAAATATTGTATGAATGTGCTTTTCTTTTGGGGAGAACCTCTGTGGCTTTCAGATAGTCTTGCTAAAGTGAATATAAGCATGTGGCGTTTTCAGTAGCTCCTATCCCCTTACATTTTGACTGCTACAGGCAAAAAAGCATTCTGTGTACTTACTTTTGTTTAGATCATCTCTCTATATCTGTTTCTTCATTTCTTAGTAATTGCCAGATATCATATAATCTAAAAAATGAATTCTACTTGTATAAATAAATTTTTCTGTTTTTATATAACTGCCTTTCTGATTTTAGCATTTATCTTATGTGCGGTGTGCATTTTTCTTCTGTTTGAATTAAATCATTAAGTTTATATATCTTGTGAGTTGTGCAAATTCACTGGCAGAACAGACCTGAATTACTGCACAGAAATCCATCCTCCCTTTTGGAAAATCAGTTTGGAATGTAAATCTTATTGACCGCAGGGGAGATGACATTCATGTCTTAAGAAATTAAGGCAATTGGTCATGTTTTAATAACACTGTTGTTGATATTATGCCTGACAGAACTGAGACCACATTTTAGCCTTGCTTCTGAGAGTGATACAGCAGATCAAGAAGACTTGGATGCAGAAGATGACCATGAGGAACAGCCTCCAAATCGAATTGTCCGAAGACCTCGTGCCATCCTTGAAGATGCTGTGGCTACCTCAGGGGTGAGCACGCTCAGTTCTACTGTATCCCACAATTCCCAGAATGCTCACCGATCACTGAATGTACAGCTTGGAAGAATGAAAATAGAAACTAATAGGTAAGTCCTATTCTGACTTGGGTAGGTTTCTTTTTTCTGACTTTAAGTGCATGTGTTTTTGGTCTCCTTTACAGTGTGATCCACAGAAAATACAAAATATGATTCCTTTATCCCATTAATGTAAACTTGATTTAAAGCCTTTCTTTGTTGAGAGAGAGAGAGAGAGAGAGAGAGAGAGATTTATTTTAGTCTCTTTAGTCAAATATATTTTCTGTTTCTACCAATTCAAGCCCCCAGCACCTTTTCCTTAACCACTGCTTTATCACCCACCGCACTGAGGCTTTTGGAGTCACTTTGGTGTAACCTTATGGACTGCCTTGGACACAGACTAGGAGCAGCATGTACCGTCCAACAGATAGTTGAAAGGCAGACAGAAAGCCCGTGTTCTTCAAAGCCCAGGATTTGGAATATCAAGTTCTTTCAGGAGAGGAAGGTCTCTGCTCTTGAGGAGATAAAATTAATGGTGCAAAAGCTTTGCATTTTAGAACCTTAAAAGGATGATCAGTTGACTACATGTGTGATTCTATTTTATGTTTAATATGGTGTGTCATATCTGGAGTTTAATTTTTCTTTGGAATTTGATAACATAGAACCTACATGATAGGTTATTAAGTGAACAGTAAATATTTCCTGTTCTTCACAGATGTTGGCCAGTTCAAGGTCTGAATCTTGATGATTTATAGCTTCCTGTGATGGCTACAGTTGACATGTGGGCAACTGAGATTACAGTGAAAAAAAAATTTTTTTTTTTTAGTAAATCAATAAAAGTTCTTCAAATATTTAGAAACCTTAGTTGAAAATTCTAATTGTTCACCAGGGAGGTAAAACATTTATTTCTGCTCATAAGTTTATGTTCCTAAGGTTAAGTTTGAATACCAAGCTTAATACAAGTAATACAAAACGAAAAATCAGACAGAGGCCGAAAACCAGGACTACAGGCTTTATTAGAGGAGAAGCACCTGCCGGGCTGTCTCCCAATGGGAGGACAGCAGCACGTGCAGGGGTGAGCACGCCTTTTGAGGGGCGGAATGGGGAGGGGTGGGGGCTTAGTGTACTCAGTGCACACTGATCAGTGGTTTACTGTATGGTCCATATAGGACAGTGATGGTGAACCTTTTGAGCTCGGTACGCCATCACTGATATAGGACAAGGGCTTAGGGTATTTGGCAGGTGTAGATTGGTGGTCCAATGTATAGTCCATATAAGGTACATGGTTAGTCACTGAGGTATTTCCAGGCTGCAGGTTACCTCATACTCGGCCCACCAGTTGGGGGAAGGGAGGATCTATCACAAAACTCATCCTATATTTGGAAACATGAACTGTGGTTGCACGATTAAAGTAACTCCATACACGTTGTCCATGGTGTGCATATAGAAATCTTTCTGAATAAAAGGAAGGTGGCTTTCAGACTTCCATACCCCAATCTTGTCCTTTGAGGTTTTCCCCAGCTCTTTACTTGCCGTCTCTACTGCTTCATAGAAAAGAGTTTGAGTCTTTTTGGCCTTTGACATGTCTGTCTCAATCATTGTGCCCCTTATTTCCTCCTTTTCTCAAGTAATAAATAACCCAATTAGGATACTCTATCCATTACGGCAGGTAGTAACTTTAGTCACTTCTCTTTAGTTGACTCTCTGTCCTCCGATCCTGAGTGGAGTTGGTTTTTATGCCCCTTACTGATCTCTGGAGGGGAAAGTTCACTCATTACTGTTTTGGTCCAACCACCCACCCCACTCTGCCCTTGGCTTCCAGTCAGAATTTTACAGACAATAAAGCTACTTTATTTACCAATGAGCTGGTATATTTGTTTCTCTGGCCCTAAAACCTTCTGTCTACATACCCTGGCTTATGTCAATAGAACCTGCCTCTCCTAAATTAAATGTAGCCATTTCCGTCTCACCTGCGCCCATCTGCGTTTCCTGTCTTACCACCCTGTCCCCGCCCTCTGTCTACCATGCTTGTGCCATCTGCAGTCCCCAAGGGCTGCTCCTCGCCAGCTGCCCTCTTCCAGGCCTCACCCCCATTTTCTGAGGGTATCAGCTAGCTGAAGGCCTGCTGCCCACATCTGCCCGTCTCTGTAAAAAGTCTAGGCTTTGCCGCAATTCTTTATTGCATTAGGAGGAATTGCATTTTTCACAAAAGCCCACATAGTTATGCTTTTTCTCTACATAGTTACACTTAAATATGTGAAATCTACAGGATTATCAGCCTCCTTTATCTTTTTCTAGGAATATCTCCCACAGCTTCACCATCAGGCCTGGAAAAGTGAGCTGAGGCCCAACATTCACTTCACACGATTAAAGAGAGGGCAGCTGGTGTGGCACAAGTCCTACGCCACGGCAGTCAGGGACTGGTCATGCCTATGCTGGCCCTTTGTTTGTAGTTGAATATTACCTGATATATTGGGGTACATATATTGCAAAACAAGCTTAGAAAAAGTGTTAGTGTGTTTTTAGGGAAGGTTGTAGCCCTCATGTTAGAAATCTTATATTAAGGAGAGCGATTTTCAACCTTTCCCATCTCATGGCACACATAAACTAATTACTAAAATTTTGCGGCACACCAAAAAATAGGTAAATTTTGAATCATTCACACCAGACAGCTGTTGTTGTGTTGGCTCTTGTTATTTAATTTGACAATCTAAGGGAAAACAGATCAGTGCCCCTGACTAAAGAGTCAGGTATTGCATGTGTTAAAATTTTCACAGCTCGCCAGTTGAGTCATTGCGTTAGGATAATTACCGATGACAGTAAATCAGGTTTATCCAGCTCTTGATTATTAGATCAATAATACTAAATGGGAAAAGTAACAAAATGGCTTTGGAATTTATGTTTTATGTTAACATAAAAACATTCAAACCTGTAAAGAATTTCTGTGAGTTTATTTGAGCCAAACTGTCGACAATTGCTTGGAAAGTAGAATCTCAGTGTATTGGGATAATGCTCCAGGGAATGGCAGCTTTTCATCTACTTTTATACACTGAAGTAAAAGAAGATGTAGATGGGTTACATGAAATCCATTGGTGACAGACCAGAGAGGGAGGAGAAAGCAAAGCAGGGAAACGCCTGGGATCGGATAAAAGTAAAATGATAGACTCATGGTCCCTCTGGGATTGGTTAAAAGTAAAATGATAGACACATACTTAGGTGGGTGCAGGATAGTTAAAAGTCAACAATTCACATGATAACAATAACAATGAAGGAATTTATGGCCTCCTGTCCGGACGCCCAGGGCATTTGGTTGTGGCCTGAGGGGTCTGGAAAAAAAGGGAAGTTCAAGTTACCCTGGCATTTCAAGGATATGTTATCATAGGTGCAAAAAGACAGATAGGCTTTCTTAAGGTAAAGGTTGACTTTGTCAGGGAAGATACCGGCCTAGGAGGTCACTGCTTTTAGTTAAAGTTTAATTTCAGACCATCTTTTGTGGTTACTTTAGGTCTTTGAGTTTGCAAGACTGCCATGCAGGCCTTCCCTGAGCTTGTCAGGTTAGCAAGTGGCCCCTTTCGTCCACATTTACTTACATTTAAACATTTGCTTACATAAAATGTCCAGACGATAATGAACTTAACACAGAGAGGGGGGACAGTAATGCATGTAGTTCAAATCTAACTCAGGAGGAGCTGAATAGTTATCTAATTTTCCTAGTCTACAATTCTGGAATTACCTGTCCCCACCCATCTGAATTAAAAAGTTCACAGATCCTTGCCAAACTTCTGGAACGGAGGCAGCAAATGCCTTGGTTTTCTAAGGATTCTCCTACTAACGGAACTGAAGACAAAGTAAAAATAAAACCGATGGACTGGATATAGCTGAAAATAAATAATTTTGAGAGATGGATTTGGGACCAATGAGGTGGCCAATCAATACTTTGCTTCCAATGTTAGGTTCTGGTTTTAAAGATGAAAAGGAAATAATAGAATCTGGATAACCTTAGGTTAAATTCTAGAAAATTTCACTGTGCTCTTTGAGAAAACAACAAGATGATACCATCACTATTCCATACATGTAGATGAACAAGAAAGACAAAAAATATATACCAGGCCAAAAAATTGCCAAGTTAAAAATTCATACTGAGCTTGCTATCCATGTCTTTGAATATCATTCCTGTTGGAGTAGATAAAAATCTCCCTTCTCTGTCAACACGTTTTGACAGAGAACAGTGTTAGAAAGGCAAGTAGGTTATTAGTTGGCTCTCAGTTGCATGGCTCAGTGGATAGAGCGTCAGCCTGTGGACTTAAGGGTCCCAGGTTTGATTCCAGTCAAGGGCATGCATGTGCCTTGGTTGCGGGCATGTCCCCAGTTGGGAGTGTGCAGGGGGCAGCTGTTCGATGTTTCTAACTTTCTATCCCTCTCCCTTCCTCTTTGTAAAAAATCAATGAAATACATTTTTTTAAAAATCTCCCTTCATCCTTCCCTCCCTCTGCTTTCAGTTCTTAATTCCGCACCACTTACTGTAAATAACCTGCCTTCCTCAAATGCCTTCTCTGGCTGCCCCTTCCCCCCACCATTTGTTTTCCTTTTATTTTGCCTCCCCTGCCTACTCTACTAGGTTCCTTTCTCCTACCCCAGGGCCACAGCTCTGTGTGTCCTGCTGGGAGTAGAGGAAGGGAAGCCCGGGGAGTCCGGAAAGAACCCTTCCCAAGCCCTGGGAGGGCTCTTTTCCAGGGCCTGAGACCGCAGCAGGCAACAGAATAGCCATTATTAAAGGCCAAGCATTTTAGCTACGTTGTCTCATTTAATGATCACAGTAATTCTTTCAGGAAATTTTTTACCTTTTAACAAGTGACAAAACTGAAACCCATCAGGATGGAGTAATTTGTCCAAGTTTGCACAGGAAGTACAGGGTGAACCTGGACGTTCCCAGAGCTGTCTTTCAGTTGCGCTAGGTGTTGTGCTGCCTTTCAGAACGTGATAGCTGATGCAGAAGCACATGAATCTGGTCCTGAGTTAAATCTATCAATGCTCAGAAAAGGAAATGCAGTTTTCTAAGAGCTGTAGTGTAGGCAACAATTTATCCTGATAATCTTATGAATAATTATATTTCTTAAGTTATAATTCCTAATCTAAATTCCTAATCTAGTCACTTGGAGCATTTTGACAGAGAACAGTGTTAGAAAAGGCAAGTAAGGTTATCAGTTGGCTCTCAGTTGCATGGCAAACCTTTCATGGGTGAGGGCCATGGTATCAATGATACCTTAGTTTCTCCTTGTTTCTTTGGAAAATGCATCAGATGCCAACTAGGAACTGAATGTACCAGGAACACAGCTATCCTTTTACTTTCGCCACTCCCTTAGAAGGGAGAGGAATAATAGTAACAACCACAATGACTAGTAACATTTATTGAATCAGGTGCCAGATACTACAGGTGACCTCACCTATAGTTACTTCTCAAATATTCATAATTTTAAAAAATGACCACCTTTCTCCTTTGCATTGATTATTGTATTACCCATATTGACCAACATTTTTTTGATAAGGGGCCATCCATATAAAATAAAGGTCTGTTAAACTAAACATATACAGTATAATTTTTTTTTTTTTTTGCCATTTATGGTCATAAAAGAGACGCTAGAACATCTCTGAAGTTTGGGCAGACAGCTGGGGATGGAGGTTTTGAATTCTGGCCTGGAAGCACACTCTCCTAGAGCTTTGCTGCTCAACATGGCATCTGTGGACCAGAACAGGAGTACCACCTGGGAGCTCCTTGGAAATGCAGAATCCCAGACCTCCCAGAGCTACTGGATCAGAATCTACATTTCAATGAAATGCCAGGGGTGTCTGCTCACTGTAGCTTGAGAAGCCCTCCAATCGGTCACTCTGGCTGCTCCAGCTTTATTACCTTGTCAGTCACTATCATTTTCTTCTGCAGATTACTGGAAGCATTGGTTCAGAAAGAGAAAGAATTACAAGCACTCCTTCATTACTCTATTGAAGAAAAGGACCAAGAAATCAAACACCTGAAGCTTAAGTCCCAACCAATAGGTGAATAAGCAGAAAATTTTAAAGTGAAACTGTTCAACCAGGCTGCCATAGGAAACAGAGCCAGCAGGCAGTTTCATTTCACGGCTTCGTCAGCATCTGTCACTTGTACCACAACTACAAATAGAGATTGCTTTTAATTCTTAATTGTAGCAAATTATCATTTCTTATAAGTGCAGTAAAAATAAGATGATTCATAGCCATCTTTTCCTGAAATTATAAATTATTGAGTAAATAGGGCTCTCCACTTTTTTCTTTATTCTTTTTAAAGATTTCACAATGAGATGATTAGAAGAAAATAATACTGTTGTCATTTTTGCATTTGTATTCTGTGTATTCTAGCTTTTTTCATATTGCAAATAATGGGAAAAGATTATTATAATTATCTGATTAATTACACTCATCTTAGTTGCATGAAAAACAGTACAATTTTAGTACACCAAGTTTATTCTAAGAAACTATGACATTGATATGAAAGTTAAAGGTGGGAGTATCGTTACATTCTTGCTGCTGACTCTCCATTTCTTAGTAGATTAAATACTCTTTAAGCATTTTATGTATAGTTCATACTGCCAATCTTGATTGTTTCTAATAATTATTTAGAGCAAAATCTTTTAAAGTATTAATGACCTCTCTTAGGTGAAGCTAAGAATGCTCCCTTTTCCCCCAATTCTCTCCTAGATATTCCTAGATCACCTGCACATCGCTCAACCACTGGCAGAACTACTGAAGATTCTAAACTTACTGACTGGCTGAGAGAAAATGGAGCTGATGATGACACTATAAGTCAGGTAGAGAAAACTGTGGGACAAGCATTATGTCACTTCATTTCATAATGTTAAGTGTCCACTATAGGCTAGGCACAGGGGATACACTGGTGAGCAACTCAGACCCCGCGCTGCCCTCCTAAGGTTTATAGACTAGGGTAGGCAGACAATAATCAAGTAACTCCACAGATAAAAGTATAATGGTGCTCTGGTAAGTTCTGAGAAAGAAAGGTTATCTGATGTTATGAAACAGAGGGAGGGAGAGGTTGGGGAAGGTGCTTTGAGAAGGTGGTGAGTATGTAGGAATAAACTGGACCATCTATATGTATGTATTGGGTGGACAGACAAGAAGGGGAAATCATCAAGTGTAGAATATGCAAATAATCATCTTTGTGGTCCAGGACCCCTAAGGAATTTTATATTTGTTAATGGAAAATAATGAAAAGTGTAGAAATTAGAACTAAAATAATTCTCTCTTTTGTGTATTAACTTTTTAATTCTCTTGTGACATTATTAAACTCCACTGGGCATTCGCTCTTTATGTAATAAAATAGATCTATTTAGTGAACTTACATCAGGAACACTTCCTGTATAAGCCATGTTATATCTATAATAACCTAATTCTTCTCTGCTCCTTATGGACTTTGTAATCAGCATGAATAGCATTTGTTTATGTTTAAGACTACATATATGAATACACATATTCACACAATAAGAGGTTATATTTTTATTATTTTATAGAAAGGGTCTCTTAATACAGTATTACATTGATTTCAGTTTTATATTTAAATCTTAAAAATAACTATGAATAAAGATGTCTTTTCTTTTGACTTGATAATTTATGTCAGGAAATGTAGGGTCTCCTTAGAAATCTGCATTTAACAACTTATGCTACATACATTTAAACAACTCTCTTGCCTATGAAAAGTATGCATAGGCAAGAGAGTTGTTTGCATAGGCAAGAACTTGAATGCATGCAATCAAGTTCTCCAAAATATCCCTCTTACTGAGACTCAAATCTCAATTAAGGATAGCAACTGATAATCCTCTAAATCATTGCCCCCCTTTTTTAGAATTAAAATTAAAAGCTTCAGTTTAAATTCAGGACTCTGATTTTCTAATAATTATTTGAAAGTACCTTTTATGAGACATGAAAAGTATTAAGTGTAAGCACTACTTTTTCTGGAACACGTCTTATCTACTTGAGAAAAATAAAGCTACCCAGCAGCAAACCTCTTAAAGACAACCATTATCTTACGAGCAGCCGATGTAATTAGACGTCCATTTAGACATTCTGTGTTGCTTATATTCTTCCTGTATTTGGAAGTCATGGATGTATCTCTTTGTAATTATTTTGTCTTAGGGGGGAACTTTCTACTAATAATTCCAGAGGTTATCTTTTTAGTGGATTTGCTTTTAAATTCATTTTTAATTATTGCCAATGTTTACATTATGGATAGAGTTTGCTATTAAAGGTGTATAAAACATCTAATGTTTATGCATATATTACTTTATCCACAGTTTTTGGCTGAGGATTATTCACTAGTGGATGTTCTCTACTATGTTACACGTGATGACTTAAAAAGCCTGAGACTAAGGTATCACTTTTCTTTCTGTTCAGTTGTCATGATGGCAAGAGTCCTGGGCTGAGGTCAGGAAGTCTGGGTCCCTGCAGTCCTGGGCCGACCTCTCTGGTTCTCAGTTGCTCTGAGTAAACTGAGTTGGTTGGACCAAACTATTATTGAGAAGCTTAATAACCAATATTTCCATATTAGTAAATGCAAATCAACTGGAAGAATATTTTTGATAATGTATCAGACCAAGACCATGCAGTTATTCTAAAGCTGCCTTAAACAAGTCCCTCAATGTTGTTCATGATTGTACCATACTTGGAAATATGAGGATGGGGTGCTGATTTGCCATCTAAATACCTGGTATAATCTGATACAGTTTCCTGTAATAATTTTTTTTTTTAATCTTGCCATGCATATGCATAATTTTCTCACACCGGCCCGTCTTTGTCTAACAAAGACATTTTAAAAATGCTGAAAACTTTTTTGCTCTGGGACCTGGTAGACTGTGGGAGTGGAGAGGAAAGGCATGGAGGGATGATGAGAAAATATATACAAAAAGAACACATAATGGCTAATAAGACTTTGGGATCTTCCTGTTCTGATCAGAGCAGTTTGAAAGCTAAGCAGTCCCTTTTCTTTTACAAGGGCAGCGTTTGAATGAACTGTTCCCTTCCCATGTCCTTGTGTCTTTGAACAGGGGAGGGATGCTCTGCACACTGTGGAAGGCCATCACCGACTTTCGGGACGAGCAGAGAGACAAACAGACTTGACTGTCACTCCTTTGTTTCCAACCTCCCTGGAGATTCTAACAACACAGAACTGATCTTCGAAGGAGGGAGAATCCCAGGGAGAGGAGAAAGAAGCTGCACTTTAAACCCAGTATTTGTTTACTCGTGTTAAAAAAAAAAAAATAGAGTACACTGAAATTTCCTAAATGCTTCTATTTCTATAATTCATAGGGACTTTTTGTAAGGACTCTCACTAGGATGTTTAGGATTATTTTACTCTAAACATTTTAATGGAAATATTTTGAACTCAGCAGCTACTGACTAGACTTCAGCCAAATGTTTATTTCACACAAAACGGATGTAACATTTCATGTGATTGTGCATCACTGGAACAAAACCAAAATGTGACCACAACTTTTTAGGTTTATGTGTGTTTGTAATATGCTCTAATAATCTAAGTAGAAATGCATAATTTCAATTGTTGCATAAAGTTTATGGTGTGTTTTTTTTAATATGCAGAATCTGAGCAATGGTTTATACTTATCTGTGTTAATTGTAATATTGATATATTTTGTAACTTAAGTTTCTGGCCTATAGTACATTGGTTTGAGTCATTTTTGTTACTACTGAACTGTACCAGTTGCACATGTCTGAATCATAGTAAAGTTAGCTTGTTCTAAAGCTATCCATTTGTCTCATATTTACTTTAAAAAGTAAAAAAGACTATCAATATACTGTTTTGATAAATTCTAAATAGTTCTCATTTTGTTTAGCCAAACTACTGTGTTAAATTTCTAGTCGTTTCTTCAGCTATAACATTAAATAGAATTTGTCTTCTACTCAAATAATCGAAGAAAACTCATCTCCAAGTTCTTCCTCATGGCGACAGAGTGGTTCAGAAAGACGTAAAAGAAAAAAGAAAATAAAAGAAAGTCACTGTATTTTTCTCAAAGCCCTGAGTTACCTTGAATGACTATTGTGTATCTCAAGGGGCCTACAAACAGCATGTCCGTGGAGAACACTGCCTTTTCTATCTCTTTAATTTCTCATATTGAGGGAAATATTTTATTGTAAGCTGAATATTGTATTTTATAAGCCTGCCTGTATTAAAAGGATGAAGTCTGAAGTTCTTCGATGGATCAATGAGATAAACAAATTTCTTGAATACAGAGGAAACTGTTTAGTATGCAAGATAAAAATAATACAGAGCTGCTCACTTGGCCCATATGTAACAGTCTTTGATAAAACAGGAGTCATTTTTATTTCTTTTCTTTTTTTTGCTGCAAAAAGTTTTATTGTTTCATTTGGTTCAATGCATGGGAGAGGGCTTCAGGGTGGTTAAAAGAATGACTAGTAGTTTCAGGGAGAGGCTCAGGCAAAAGGCAGACACCAGGGGAACGCAGAGGGGCCCCTCAAAGGCCTCTGGGTTCCAAAATCATGCTTGAGGGTAAGCCCAGCCCAGCCTGGGGGCCGGCCAGGTGTAGCCCATTTTCTTGATAAGTTTCACCTCCTCACCCAGGAAGTGGTTCTCAAGGAAGTCACAGAGGTGAGAGTCTGGGGCAGAGCCCAGGGCCTGCAGCTCCACAAGGGCCTGGTTCAGGTTCCTCTCTAAGGCCAGGGCAGCTCCCATGGCGCCCTGAGTTTTGCCCACTCACCTTGGGGAGGCTTCAGCACATCCTGGAGGAGAATGCGGACACCACGCTGGTTTTGCAACTTTAAGGGACGCTCAGCACCCTCGGCTTCTCCGCCAACTCATGGAAGAAGTGACCCATGCCCTCGAGAGCCACATCATTGGTGGAAATAGAAGCCCAGAGAAAGGTGGGTGTGGAAGGCCCGCAGATGCAGGTTGGCTCCGCGGTTGAACACAGCCTCCACCTCGGTGGAATAATTCTGATGAATTTGGGAGCTCATGGTTGTTCGGCAATAAGGAGTTAAGGTAGAAAAACAAACAAACAGTATGTTGCTGGTCCTGGAGGTGGTTCTGAAGGTGATGACTAGATAAGATGCAGGAGAGTGGCCGAAGGCTGGGAGAAGGGGTGTCCCTGCGTCTGTTCTGGCCAAACACTGTTGAAGCAAGACACAGATCTGGGAGATGTGCCTGCAACCAAGGTACATGCCCTTGACCGGAATCAAACCTGGGACCCCTCAGTCCCCAGGCTGACGCTTTATTCAGTGAGCCAAACCAGTCAGGGCATATATATTTTTTAAAGTTTATTTTTATTGTTGACACTATTATAGATGTCCCCATTTAGGTATTCAATTATTCAGAAAGTTCTCACCAGTATTTTGCCATTTGATATTTGTAACAATATAGCTGCATCTTTGTTTTACTTACCAATCCTGAGGACAGATTGCTGCCCTGTCCCCTTGCACCCTGTGGGAAATTTTGAGGGAAATGAAGTGTAAATTAAGTGGAAAGTCATTTCATTCATACTGAAATACAGGGTAACTTTTTTTATTATTGATTTTTTTTACAGAGAGGAAGGGAGAGGGATAGAGAGTTAGAAACATCAATGAGAGAGAAACATTGATCAGCTTCCTCCTGCACACCCCCAACTGGGGATGTGCCCGCAACCAAGGTACATGCTCTTGGCTGGAATCGAACCCAGGACCCTTCAGTCCGCAGGCCGATGCTCTATCCACTGAGCCAAACAGGTTTGGCAGGGGTAACTTCTTTATCGAGCCACAGTTCATCTGCCTGATAATTATGGTTAAGTGCTTCTTTTAGACCGTAAATAGGATCAAGCTACCCATGTTCAACCAACTATTTTATTTTTTCATCCTCACCCAAGGAGTGAGGATATTTTTTAAAATATATTTTTATTGATTTCAGAGAGGAAGGGAGAGAGAGAGATAGAAACATCAGTAATGAGAGAGAATCATTGATCTGCTGCCTCCTGCATGCCCCACACTGGGAATCGAGCCCACAACCTGGGCATGTGCCCTAACCAGGAATCCAACTGTGACTTCCTGGTTCATAGGTTGACGCTCAACCACTGAGCCACGCCAGCCAGACTCACCCAAATCTTTAATGATAGTCTTCTGTGGGGGCTCTCGCTGTAACCAATCTTTGTGATCAAATGTTCCTCTATCCCTACATGTTTCATAATACATTCCCAGACATCATTTTTGGGTCTAAGTCACACAAGAAGGCAGTTCCATTATGGCCCAAGTTTCATGAAAGTTTTCACTTGAAAGGCCTTTAGCATCAATCTATGCCAGATCGTACATCCAGCTTCACATTAAAGTGACCTGGTTGCTTTTTAAAAATATCGATGCCACCATCTTAGAGAAACTTTTTATTGGTCTGGGAAGGGGCCCAAAGATCTTTTTAAAAGCTCTACAGATGACACCATCAGGTCCCACCTCCTTATTCAACGTGGTACCCGGAGAGAAAAATGGAAAGCCCTTTCCGTAGTGATGATAGTAAGATGGTTACCATTTGTTGTTCATTCAGTGTAGCAAGAGTCTAAGCACATAGGCCTGGGGCAAAACTACCACTTGCCTTTTCCCATTGGCCAATGAACCTCACCAAGTCTGTTGTTTCCTCATCTGAAGTGGGGAAAGCAGTCTGCCTTCCTCATGGGGTTGTTGTAAGATTTAAAGAAAACAATGCAGATGAGGTGCTTACTGCAATGCTTAGCAGATACTAAGCACTCAGCTCCTGCCTACTGTTGTTATCTATTATCATTCACTCAAAGCAGTCATTAAGAACTCACTGGGTGAGTACATTATGGTACACAAACGACACAGTTCTCCCCCCATGTTCACTGTCAGTGGTGAAAGCAAGACAAAGCAGAAACTACAATACATGCAGTAAGTGCTGTAGTGAAATGACTGCTGGAGGGGATCAAGAAAAGCTTCCTGGAGAAGTGAAGTCCAGAGCTGAGCCTGGAAAGACGGTTGGTGACAGCAGTTACACACCTGGGTGGTGCACAGTCTTACAAGAAACAAAACCGGAATTTGCTGGGGAAAGTAGATCCAGTGTTTCTTTTTAAGCACATTTTGATCTCTTTCTCCAAATCCTATCATTGCATATTTTGTTTCATTCATTCTTAAACCATTACAAAAAACGGTTGGCAATGAGGAATTGTTGCTAACCCACTGGAATGCCTGCTATGTGTGAGGCACTGTAGCAGCAGGAGAGATATACATGATACCCCTTAAATTTAGAATACAGGCAACACATATGTCATCAAGAACACCAGTTATTTGTAAAAATATCATTGATAACTCCAGGCTTTATAGACACCCTAGGGAGAAACAGAAGACAAAGCCTCTGCCACCAATAATTCATATCAGATTGAAGAGACAAATTCGCAGTAACAACTCACACCTCGTCTATGTTAAAGGCTAGCTGAGGGGTAAGTCCAGAAGCCCCTGGAGAGGTTCAGGGAACAAGCTTGCTGGGAGCCTGGGCAGGTGGGACAGGCTTCATTGAGGAGGCAGACCTCACCCTGGGCCTTAGAAGGAAAGAATTATTAAGTCAGAAACAGGGAAGTCAATCAGGGCATAGCACCAAGAACAAAGGCAGAAAGCAGGGATTTGCAAAGTGTTCTGGAGAAAGTGAGCAATTTTTATATTACATTACCTGCCCCCTGCCCCCTGAATTGACTCATTTAACTCATATTTGGCTAGAAACATGAATTATAAAGATGAAAGGTGGAAAATAAGATAGAGCTCAATGTGATTAGAGTTGGCCAGGGAGGAGAGTGGAGTATATTTAATTATGTAGAAATAGGGGATCTATTAAGGTTTTTGAGCAAGAGGTGTATGTGTAAAGCAGTAGTGTGTGGGATTAATCTGGTGAAATTGTTTTGGGTAAATTAGAGGGAATAGAAATTGGACAGAACAGCTCAGAGAGTGTTACAGATGTGAAGGAGGGTCTAGTAGGAGTTAGAGCAATAGGAATTGAGAGGGTGAGATTAAAATAAATTGACAAGATTTGGGAACTATGATTTGAGCAGTGACAATGGGAGGAAAGGCTAGATGTTGAGTTTATATAACAGAAGAATTCAAACACAGGCAACTTTGGGGGGGAAGCTGGTTTGGACATGATGAATTAATGGCAGGATGATTCAATGATAGAAATGGCAGAGACCATTGAGAATTTGTAGGTAGAAGTCAGGACTGAGGTCAGAGGTATATATTCTGGATCTAGGGCTCAACCTAGATGGAGATAACATTAAGTGATAGTTATGAGAGATAAAGGTTGTGGCCGACAATTTTGGGAGGAGGATGGTTTTAGGGTGGTTTGAGAAGGAGGAGGAATTTTAAGTCAGTAGAGAAGAAAAATGACTAACCACAGAGAAATTAGAAAAACCAGGACAGCCCCAACCGGTTTGGCTCAGTGGATATAACGTCATCCTGTGGACTGAAAGGTCCCAGGTTCGATTCCGGTCAAGGGCATGTACCTTGGTTGCGGGCACATCCCCAGTAGGGAGTGTGCAGGAGGCAGCTGATCGATGTTTCTCTCTCATCTATGTTTCTAACTCTCTATCCCTCTCCCTTCCTCTCTGTAAAAAATCAGTAAAATATATTTTTTGAAAAAAGAAAAGAAAAAAGAAAAACCAGGCCAGTGGTGTAAGCCAAGAGGAAGATGATCAGTTGATAGAGTGAAGAAAATCTAGGGGGGTGACAGATTAAAAATTTGATTTCATGCCCTGGATAGTTTTCCTAGACATGAAAGACTACACTTGGTTAAACAAAGATAATAAGACAATAATGGCACCAGAGTCCACACAAAGTTTATTAACTTCGGTGAACAAAATTATGACGACAGATTCGGGAGAGTTGGAAGTTGAGGGAAGAAATTTTTCAGAATCAGAGAGTCCTGAATGTGTTTGTTGGGGTAGAATACCTGAATGGAGAGACCGTTGGGGAGTAGGGAGAAGAAAGGATGAGTTTTCAAAGGAGGCAGGAGGGGAGCAGATGGCTTTAGGAGTTCCAGCT